TTGGTGGTTTAGTCGAATGAAAGGAAAGGTTGATTTCTGCTGAGACTTAAAAAAGAGGTGGCCACAACTGCCAGGCTGTTCATTTCATCAAGAGATGAGGTACGGGTTCATTATGCCACCTGTTAAATCCAGGCAAGCTTCAGTTTTCTTTTGACTAGAGTGGCATAAGTGATAGTTCCAACATTAAATCTGAACTGATGTGACCCAGTGGGCAGCTGTTGCCAAGGACCAGAATGTTAATAGGGCCATCTTCAATCTCCTAGTTCTGCCAATCCATGCTGAATGAAGCCGAATGAGTAAGGCCAGGTGAAGCCTACAGAGGAATCGCCTCACGTATCTGCATAATTGTTAAGAAATAAATTATTGTTTTAAGCCACTAATTTTTAAGGCAATTTGCTACCTATTTGGTGTTATCTGAAACTTTTCCTTTGCAACCTTGGCAGCTGGGGAAATTCCCCATTAGATTAAACCACATTACAACTGCAATGAGGGGACCCCTCTTGCAAAACGTTGTCTCTGTGTTTGTTCTCCGACCCACCTTGGCCTGTCACCATCTTTGTATCACGTTTACTCCTTTAAAGGCAAACTTTTGAACTACTAATTCGCATCTTCGCATTTTCAAGTAGCATTGGGAGTACTGTATTTTTACACAATTAATTACATGGCTTCACAAACCCTTCTCCCGTTAGGTTCCTACGTGTGGTGTGCGATACACACACACACACACTCAAAAATAGCGTAATCTGGGGGAAAATAAATACCTCATTGTCGTCAGTCTAATCGCTTAGCAACAACTTTAGGACAGCTAAACCTGCTTGTCTCTCGAGGTCTCAGAGGCTTTAATCTTTGCAGGAACACGGTCTCATCTTTCTAGGGGCAACTGGGGGGCTGAACAGCTGACTTTGTGGAGGTTCGCAGTACAGTGCCCACCAGACCCCAGGAAACTCAATTGAGATGTTCAGTAAAGGGCTGTTACTACCCCAGCAGGCGTGACTCAAACCGTCCGGATTTCCAGAGGATTCTCCTTAACTTCACGAAATGCCCTCACCTGATGCGTCGGCCTCATCTATCTCCGACCCAGGTGATCTTGCTCGCTGCAGTGTCTCCGGGGAACTGCACCTGAATTAAGGGCTTTATTATTTTCAACACTTTTAACCGAACATGGAGTGAGTGCCTGCTTTTAATCTCGGCTTGGCGTTGACTTCGGCCCACTCAGGGCTTTTCAAAAGTTTGGGATCGCCACTCGATCCCCTCCGCACGGCTGGGCGAAGGGAGGCTCCCGTCTGGAGGGCGCAGCCCGGGCAACCTTCTCGGCTCCGGCCAGCGCTCGGGAGGTGGCCCGTCGCC